CATCTACATCAACAGGTACAGTACATCTACTCTGTACCCCATTTGTCCTTGGTGGTTTGGACTTTTCAATGCAGGCATTCAAAAGCTGCAGCAAAGAATAAACCTGAATCTTGGACCATGCTGGCTGAACTTCTTGCACAGTGTTCAGTGACACATTGAATCGATATATATGACCTCTTCTTCAACCCACACTGCTCCATTGAGCTGATATTTTGTATATGGACTGGGGAAGCTTTTTGAGCAACTTCCCCAGAACTAGACTCTGTGTCACAAGGCATAGTAATCTCCAGGGAGTTTCCCATTTGATAAAGGTTATACTGTGGCCATGCGGCTGGTCACCAACAGTGTAACATTGTGGCATTCTAAAAGTTCACAGTCTTTTACTAAAGGACTTAATATATGGCAAGAAGTTACGTTCTACACTCTTATACTACCGTTGCCTTTTGCCTCTTATGCACAAGGTACAATAGATCAGTGGTCAAGGCTGTTTGTGCCATATTGGCAGATTGTTATTTCACAACATTAAACATAGACAACTTTTTCAGACAGTCACCTCTAATGTCAACTCTTCAGCATTCTTGGCACGTTTTATTTTCTTTTCCTACTAAGAACGTGACTAAATGATTCACTTTTGTAGTGTAGAAGCTTTTATTTGGTTGGCCAAATTGGAAATGCTGATCTGGTAACCGACTGTACAGTAGATCCAGTAATCCTGACCAATCCAGCCGTTGAATTCATATGCTGTTGTGGGCCCAAGTGCTGCAATGAATGACACAAAGAAACTATGAATACTTGTATATATATGCATCTCCTGACAATGTCTGGATTTCTGGCAATGGGAAACTTGACAGAGAGGGAGCAAACTGACAGGTGAAGTATATCCTAATTCTCCTTGAGGTGTGTGGGATGGCAGAATTTTTGCCAGAACATTAGGTTCCCTTACACTGTGAGGAAACAGCCGATATTAAAATGCAGTTTGTAGCAATGTCCATTTTCCCTAATGCCTTCAGTGCAATTGAATGGGACTCATTTTTCAAGATGATGAATTTGTTTTTGTAAATGAGAAACATTGTCATCTCAATGTGCAAAATCTTTGTGACAAGTAGCTCTAACAGTCACTGTTGTACGGGCCAAGGCATGATTGAGTCTTTGGTTGATTGACCAGTCCATTGTGGGGATGCAAATATGTAACAGCTAGCCAACTGGATTCTGAAATTAATAGATGAAAGTAATATTATATACTGCATGGTGCAATTGGACTCATTCTGTGGTTGAGCAAACTGTTGCTTTATAGAAAGCAAAATACCTTTTCTGTCACACCGCAGGAGGACCCTGCTCCACCAGGTCTGCTGCATTTTCAGGGCAGTCTTGACAACCATTGTAGAGTTTCTTTTCACACTGAGGCACTAAGACCTGATCAACTGCATTAGCCTAAACCTTAGCACCAGCTAACCGCATCGGTGTGAGTTGGCGCCGCAGACAGCTGCCTCAGTTCTGTACTAGAAACAAATTCCTTTGTGGGGCGACTGCAATTCAGTGGGTAGAGCAATCGTCTCCCAAGGAGGGTCGGTGGTTTGAATCTTGGTGCCTGCAGTTCATGTGTCAAAGTGTCCTTGGGCAAGACACTGAACCCCCCCGTTGCCCCTGATGGTTAGAGCCATCGGTGTGAGTTGGCACCGCAGGTGGCTGCCTCGGTTCTGCAGCGGAAACAACAGTAAGACCTGTTTAGATACAAGTTTGTTATATTGACAACTTTTCCCTTCTCCTTAGGTGCGTGCAGGAGTATAAACTGGCAGGGGATGGGCGCTCCTGCCTCCTGCAGTCAGACAACTGTGAGGGACCAAAGTGTCCAAGGCAGGATGTATACTTCAATGTCACCCTGTTTGGTGAGATGCTGCATGGATACAACAACAAAACCCAGCAAGTCAACTTTGGACAGATATTCCAAATGACCTTCAGGTAACTAGTGTACAAATACACACATTTGCACATGCACAGGTCAGCCCTGTGATAGCCTGGTGACCTGTCCAGGGCGTACCTGGAAGGATATATGCACATATATGAGAGAGAGTGACAGTGATAGTTGAGTAAGGATTGAGACTTACTCCATGGCAGTTCTCCATCTATGCTGCCAGTCTTCAGAAAAGCTGGCTCACTCTGATAAGTAACATGCTGTTTGAGGTGAAATGCTCCCGTAATCAAAAGAGAGATCATGAGGGTCTATCTATGCACAACTAGAAAAATATGCTCAACCTACAGTATATCTTACTTTTTCTGTCTGTCTTTTATTTACTCACTTTCTTGCTCATACACACATATAGTACACATGTGCACTATACATCAACGCAGTAACCATGAAATGCTTTTCCTCTGTTCTGCCCTATAGGTTACAGTAGTTGCGCTTGGCTAAACAAAGCCACATGATCTGTTTGGTGTAGCTTACCAGGGTCAGACCTTTGTAACGTAAATTATTACAGTAGGATTTCTACAGCATAAATGGCACACTGGATACTGCTTGTATGGACACATTTGTTGAAAGGATTATATAATTAGAGAAAGACCCAGGCACATTTTGTCAGATTTTTGGGGGGCATAATCAAGTTTAATAATATTGAGCTTTCCATAGTATCTTGGTGGTTGAATGGTTGCATGTAATGGAGGATCTGTCTCTGATTTCATCAGAATGCTACTTTTGTGCTTTTCTTTCAGAAATGTACAATAATTCAGATACTGAAATTTCACATTTCAAAATCCTCATAGTAGTCAGCATTTAATGTTAGTTATCACCAGAGAAGTGCATGACACAAGCATTTTTGGCCAAATATTATTTGTAATATTGATGTATTTAAGATGATGTGATTTTAAATCCTAATAAGGGGGATTAATTAGGGTTTGAATACAGTTGTGCACAGTTGTGTCTCTATCTGTCCTTGAAAATACCTTTGGGATGCAAGCACCCTTACAATGTCCAACTGCAGCATTCATTGGAGTGAGTCATTTTAAAAAGATGGCCAATTAACATAGGTCTCATTCACAGAATGTTAATTGTATGAGTTTAATCATGCATTAGAGAGATTTTAACCATTTAGCAGTGCAGAACAAGGTGGTGAAGGTTATATTTTACCTCTCTGATTTGTCTTAGCATGGGTTTGTACTGAAGAACCACATGACATAAGATGGTACACTCTGGAACATCAATAGAAACAAAGATCTATGGTATTAAAAGTTGGGACATCTAACAATGATCACCCAAAGAGCTATAAGTTAAAATGGGCTTCCTAAAGACAGTTTGCAGGAATGACATGTCTATAGCTTAACATGGGAAAAGAACTTGAGCCTAATGTTTTCCAAAGTTTCAAGGGGCTAAATCACTTTGGAAGTTCTTCTAATACAGCAAAACAGGGCACAGTTTGACAGATAAAACAAAGGCACTGTTGGAGGATTTTAAAACCAGAGAGACCATACAGACTTGATCCATTTGCCCTCAAGCTCAGCTGGCCTCCAGACTCCAGCTTTATACTCTGGCTTACATCAAACTATATGGCCAGTACAGGGATTTGCACTCAAGCCAGGACTCTAGTGAGGTTGTGCACATGACAGGTTTATACTAGTTCAACACTTCTGCAGCCCCAAGACTGACTCTAGACTATAAAAGAGTATGTTTATGTGGGCTCATTTCATTGCTTACTGACAGATATGTTTTGGCTCATCCTGTTTTCAACACTTGAAACACAGATTTAAATGCCATCTACTGAAATCTTGAAAAATGTCTCACTGATAAGGCCAGATAAGGCCACCTCCTATTATGTTGGAACCAAATTATTTAAAAGTCACACCTGTAAAATCAGTGGTTGTTTATCTTCTCAGAAGGTAAATCACTAAAAGTACATTGTACTTTGTCTGCTGTGAGATGTCTGTAAAATACAGACCAACTAAATTTTCTTTTTCTCCCTTTCTCAACCTTCATTTTGTCACACCTGTGCAATTTGCACCTGCTCCTAGAAGCTAGAAAAATTTCCATGCTAATTGCGAGAGGCGCACTCCCCCACACTTATCATGTTCCCTGCAGTTAGGGGCACACTGGGCTGATTACATGCAGATGATAGTGCACTTCCAGGCTGATGTGCCTTTTTGGATAAATAACACACATGTCTCAAGGTGCAGAGTGCATCTGAAATGAAGCGCAGAAAGCACTTATGCAAACCAGTCAAATATGCCCATAAAAGATACTTTATGAATCCATCATTAAACTCAGCACTAAATTAGAGGTGAAAATATTGTTTATTGTTCACCAGTAGACATTCTGTATGCACAGCCATTGTGCTTTCATCTTTGTTTTATGAGCTTGATCATATGTATTTGGTAATGTTTTGAAAGTCACATTTTTGGAGCTATTCATCATTCGTAGTCTAGCCAGACGAGCTAAGCACAAATGAGTAAAATACTTGACACCCTGTGCCTCTAATTAAACATATATGTCATCTGACTAAAATACTCATTTTGCTTATGAAATCCACTCTGTCTTTTGACAAAAGAATAAAAGCTTTGACTTTTGAATTGACTGCTGTTGTAAAATTTGACTTCATATTCAGTACAAATAGTCTAGATGTTTATAGCCCTATGTTACAGTTTTTATCCTAATCATTTTCTCCGCTGTTTGTCCATGCTGCCTTTGATATGCAGATGCCAGTCTTATCCCACAGCCCTGCATCTATGTCTTTGGCACCTCCACTCTCTGCTGTTCTCTAGCTCTCACACCACATCATTCTCTGGTATCAACAGCTCAGAGTAAAAAATTACTGTAGATGTTTGAGTTAAATTATATGATTTGAGTCGCAGCTTCATGGTAATGTTTAAATATGACATATTACCTGTGATTTATGACTCTTTATTGTATACATTTGGTTTTTAATTGATCTCACTTTGCAAGCCTTTTGAAGTGGGCTAGGAGAATTAATTTTGCAAAATACAGTTGTGAAATTACAAACTAATACAATGGCATATAGGCTGGCGTTTGGGTGATAAAGTTACACGTGTTAATGTGAATGTTAGGGGAGAGAACAATTCCATTACAATGTGATTGCAGTGTCGCTATTTAAAGATATGAAAACACAATCTGCCCAACAGAGAATGCATATACAGTGGGTACGGAAAGTATTCAGACCCCCTTAAATTTTTCACTCTATGTTATATTGCAGCCATATGCTAAAATCATTTAAGTTCATTGTTTTCCTCATTAATGTACACACAGCACCCCATATTGA